GAGAGCTGCTCATATGACTCTTTTTTTGTTTTTTATTATTTAGATATCTGGCATTTGACAACATTACAAACACGTAATCCCTTAATAACGTTAACCTTATCTTTACCTAAATAAGGGAATACCTTATCCGCTAATAAAGTAATCCGTTATTTTTCTGTTAATGCGCATGAGCAGAATAACGTATAATGTTTAACGTTACTGAAATAAGGGACTTAAAAACTCTCTACTTAATCCATTCTTGTACGGTAAAATACGATAAAACCTCAGAATTCCAAAGAAATGTACCGATTGACATAAAAATTGAAAGGCGCATAGGAAACATGTCAAAGAAAAAAGTTATATAGTGACAATGTTTTACCCCAGAAGTGAGTGCCACCCTTTCTCGATGGTAAAAATATGTAACCATTAAATAACTCCAGAAATCTGTAGAGAATTTAATTCATAACAAAAAGTGTTATACAGAATTTATACCAATTTCATCTTTTCCTGCTTGAAGTTTTTCATGCCTGAAATTGTTGATTTCCTAGCTAACGTAGTATTTCGAAAATAGCTTACAAACAGTACATTTTAATTAAAAAACAATAAGAATGAAAAAGGAATATTTCAGAATAATAAATCAAATGGATTTTTAAAATTTTTTTGCAGCTGTACAACCCAAACTCCTATCTGAGAAAGGAGAGGTTCATTTTAATTAATCTGCAATCAAAACTTTTACCATCAAATAACGTAAAAAGAAGACAGTCCATTCGTCAAAGATTTGACTCTTAAAAATCATAAAAAAACGAGCGGAATTTTGCCGAGATTATCAATTTTGGGAAGCCAAAAAAGATGCATAAAAGTTTACCAATTTTACCACCGGGCTTCCTCCTAAAACTCCCCTCTTAGAGGGGTAAAAACTCAAAATAATCAATTTATCAAGAACCTGTTGGCTGTAGAAAAAAAAATATAATAAATTTAAAATGTAGCTTGAACGTAGCTTGAAATGTAGTAAAATGAACCGTTCTCTAAGAAACAACACGCTTGAAGCAACCGGCGATTTTGAATATTGGTTGCATTTGCGAAATCAGTGTTAAATAAAATGTGTATCGATAAAAGTCGACGGTCAAAATTCGATATCTTTTGGTCAGAGTGTGATATCGACAAGAATCAAAATGCATTTTAAATGTGAAGAGCGCAGAATTTTTGTGCAATTTTTGTATTTTGCAGTAAACAAAGAGAATTTTTATAAATCTGTTCAATAATTAAATGTTGCGAGGTTTTTCCCATTTTTTACAATTCTCGTTAGGTTAATAAAATTTCACTTTCATTAAAAATCACAAAATTAATAATCACTTTAATTAACCGGTCATAATAAAATTTCGATTTACAGCAACTTATTTACAAAACCTATATGATATTTGAATTTTGAGTTGTGGCAACAAAATATGAGACATTTGAAATATAACTATAAAACGCAGAATTTGACGTCAAACGTCACGAAAAAGTCTTCAAGAAAATGGTTTTCACAGTAATTTGTAGGAAATAATAGGTTGTTTTGAAAAACGTCCTAATTTAATTAAAAAATAGCAGTTTAAAATGTTTTATATTGTTTGTATGTTTGATGTTTTAGTTTTTTTAAAGATTAGGCTCTAAAGTCGGTTCGCTATATTTACACTGGTTTCGGATTAAAAATTTTATTGTAACTACCCAGTTTTAATTACCTGCTCTTTGGGGAAATATCAACTGGTCAAATGAAATGAAAAATAATCCATAACTTTTTTTAATTAAATAATAATGGAAAATCTTTTATATAATTGACAGTATAATAAGGAGAATTACTTCAATAATGGAGTCTAATGTGGCTAATATAAACCTAATAATAATTTTATATTACACTTCACACTGAAAATATGATCTATATATATTTGTTCCATGGAGAGAATTTCTAATAAAAAATAAAAAAATTTAACTTGCCAACAAAAATGAAAATCAGTCATTATCATCAAAAATATCATAATCGTCATCATCATCGCTGTCATCACCATTAATTGTTATTATGATTGGACTTATTTCGTTTATTTTATTTTTACGAGTCCACCAATCTTCTATTAGTTTCTCGCACTTGAATATACAGTTGCACCACACTTCTGGAGTTACAATTGAAAGTGCCCTTCGCCAAGTTTCCCGAACTGCGTCGTCGCTATAACCGTTAGGCCCAATATGGTTGTCATAATATTGTTTTCCTATTCCCCATATATATTCGATGGGATTAAACTGGCAATGATACGGTGGCAGAAGTAAAACTTGATGACCGTAACTTTCAATAATCTGATGCACAACAAAGATTTTTGGTTTTGCGTGGATATTTGCCAAGCGTAATAATTCTGATTTTAAAATATGTTGTGTAAATGGTATATGTTCCTTTGTCAACTGTTCTTTAATTTTATTAACAGTCCAAGAATTCTTGGACTTTTGTTTAATACTTCAGAATGGTAAGGTGCATTGTCTAAAATAATTACGCTGGGCTCACTTAAACCTGGGAGAAGTTTTTCATGTAACCATTTTACAAACATTTCTGTGTTCATATTATCGTGATAGTCACTTGATTTTGATTAAGATGACAATATTAAATCAGCACCTTCTATAAAACCCCATTTCCCTCTTGCATGTAAAATTATATGTCGCTTCCCTTCTCCATCAGTATGTTTGATAGACTTTACGTTATCATCTTGCCATATTCTCTTGGTAGCACCCCTAGAAAATATCCATGTTTCGTCTAAATATATAAAATTTGCCATTTCTTCTTTTAATTTAGAATATTTTCTTACAATACTAATTCTTTTATGCACAACAGAACTTCTTTCACAAAGGGATTTTCAGTTATCCTCCTTTTGAACTTTGAAACCCAAATTATGTATCACTTGCCATAGACTTGTTCTGTGAATTTCGTCAAATTTTCTATCTTTTAATTCCGAGAGAATTGTATTTAGGTCACATGTTCCTTGTTGGCTCGCATTCGATAAATGATATCATGAATTTCAAATTTTTTTCCATCTGGAATATCTTTCGTTTTCAATGATAGGCGAGTTTTTCGGTGATCTTCTTTCGGCCGTTCATTATTGCGATTTTGTAATACTCCTCTTAGTTTGGTTTCACTAATTCCTAGAGCATCACATACGCGTTGTTGAACAGACATTACCGATTTTAAAGGACCGCAATTTTCTTTTGCATCCGTAAAATACTTATGTACACTACAAATTAGACTATCTACATCTAACACACGTCTAGGCATTTTTAAATATTTCCACCGAACATACAATGTCAACACTGGCAAGTTCAATAGTTTAAATATTTAGCCTCAGGGATAAATAAATGAAATAACTTTTAAACTATTTGACCGATCGGGGGCAAATTTAGCAAAAATTTAAAATACGGTAATTCCTGGATGTTTAAATGTATTAATAACATTTTATTTTTTTAATAAAAAAGTTAATAAAATTTATAAGTTAGTGCAAAAATAGTGCTTGTTGCAAATATCTCCGTAAATTATTTATCAATTTTAATTTAAAAATCGGGAAAATAAAGATATTATTGATATAAAATAATAATATAAATATTGTTTATGTAAAATATAAGGGAAAAACTTGACAAAAAATCAAATTGTGACCATAAATTATTGTTTAAAAAAACGCAAGGTAAAAATACGATTACTTTTTTACCTATTCGTCATCTAGTAACCGTCTTAAAAGCTTCAGATATCTGCGAACAATTATTCGACCTTTTTTTTTAACCAGATTGGGCTAAATAGCGATATTGACGTTTCAAGTTTGAAGAGGAGTGTGGGAAGTTTCTGTTTTTAAATATTTTAAAATCTAGTGATACTCAAAATTCTAGTGGTAATTTTTTTTGGAGCGGTATAAATATCTTCGGTTTCAATTATTTCTAAAACTAGCTTTTTTAAATTTAGGCCTTTTAAACTGGTTAAAATTTTAGATCACGTTGTTGATACTAAAGAAAGCTAATTTTACTTGGAAAAAAAAAATAATTTTAATGTTTGTGGAAAAGCCAATAACTTAATTTTCTTTTTTTTTCTTTTTAATGAGAACATCATGTTTTTTTGTTAATAACTCAAGATGTTTTTCATCCAAAGCACTTACGGCTTAGCTTATTTTAAGCTTTCACTAAATAAATACTTTTAAATTAAAAACATTCTTACCATTTTTTTTGGAAAACCTCTTCTTTATACGATATTTGATAATAAAAGTTTTGATTACAAAATATTTTGATTGATTATGTTGAAAGGTTTCTTTTTTATGGCTTTTTCGTTAAAATCTACTCTTTGTGAGTTATTTTTAAAAAACCGCCTACAAATATGCATTTTTTAGGTAGAAAATCTCGTTTTCTTTGGTTATTTAAATGTTAAATATGTTCACCCGCGAGAAGGAGTGGCACTCACCCCTGGGGTAAAAGCGCACATCGGCACTATATAAATATCTTTTTTTCTTTAACATGTTTTCAATGCGCATTTTAAATTTAGTGTAAAATAAAGCGGTTCTTTAAAATTATGAGCAAAAACCGTGAAATAATGGACTACTATTGTAGTCATGGGTTTATTTATAATCGCCGGTATCGCCAAAATAATGGTTAAGATTATGGAATGTTGAGCTTTTTAAAAAGAAGAAATGTAGTAAACTATCTCAATTTTTTTACAGGGAGAAAATATATCAAGCCAGGATCTATGCCCAGTACGCAATAATTTAATTATTGTATCTTTTAAATTTAGATGACCATACATATAAAAACACGTACAAAAATAAATCAACATGTGCAGGATATATCACCAGACATTAAGTTGAGTAGCCTACTCACAAGTTATAAGTAATTTCCTGTTTTAATACCATTAAACTATAACAGTAACAACAAATACGAATGAGCGAAAGTATAGTTCAATGCCAAGGATAATATGAATTACTTTTATAATAACTATCACATAGTATACTTTCTATAAAAATTGTACTAACCGTATCGTCCTCGGGAATTATAACTTTGTCGTTAGAAAAATAGGTATCCACATCATTATTTTCGTAGTAATAAGGAGGTGGTGGGTCATTGACACAATATTTTTTCTTATTATTGTCACTGCAACAATCGTCTTTCACGTTTGGTTCGGTTCCGACCATTTTGGTGTATGCGAAAATCAAAGCAGATTCGAGATAAAGACCTCACGCGCCGCAGCTTTACATTATTAACTAATATTCCAATGACACTAGTACGATACATATATTTCCCTCACCACATATCGTACCAAATAATTAGCCATGTGCCTGCGATTACGTTCGGTAGTGAATCCTCACGTCTATAGATAATGAGTCAAGTACTCTTTTTAATTGAATGGAGGGTACTTTCAATAGGTTTTGTAGACGTTAAGAGATGTGACATCGTCGGTGTGGTAAATGAGTAAATGAGCCGTCTACTACATACATAAATTTGAAGTACGAAATTTGTTGTTTTATTTAGAGCATCCTATACTTATATTAGGTACATTTGCCATATAATAATAATAATTTATGCCAAAGTGGTAGCCTCGTCAGAAAAAAAAATTTACAAAAAACATCAGCCGTCAGTGGCAATTCCATGAATGAGAAAGGCTCTTTGCGCATTTTGAGTTTCGTGCAATATACAGAGTGAGTTTTCATTGCGACATTGATTGATCGATAATTCTATTATGGTATATAACATTCAAAAACTTTTGTAGAACAAATGTAGCAATTATATTCTGGAGGCTTGGAAAATATGCAAAATTCTACAGGGTTATTCATAACTATGTAATAAAGCAAATATGCTACTACTACTACTATCGGTTTACAACATTCTCCGACGCTTTCCGAGTCCTAACCGCCATTCTTCTCTATTTAACCCTGGGCCTGGAGGAATTTTTCTTTCCTCTAGTTCTTTTTCAATTTGCTCTTTCCAGCTTCTTCTCGGCCTTCCTCTTTTACTTCTTCCTTGTGGTGTCCACGTCAGAATCTGTTTCGGAATCCTGTCATCTGGCATTCTCTGTACATGGCCGTACCATATTAACTGTTTTGTTTTTATGTCATTAACTATTGTATGCTTGACTCCCATCATTTCTCGTATTCTCTCATTTGGTATCCGATCTCTTCTTGATTTGTCTGTTGCTCTTCTGCAGAAGTCCATTTCTGTTATTAGTAACAGTTTCTTTGTTCTTTGTTTCATTGGCCAAACTTCCCTGCCATATGTGATTACACTTTTAAGTATGGTGTTGTATGTGAGGAGTTTGTTCGCTTTAGATATTGTTTGGTCCCACAGAATGCCGTTCATCATTGATATGGATTTTCTACCCTGTATGTTTCTGCCTTTTATAGCAGCATCGAGTGTTCCGTCTTGAGTTATCTTCATACCTAGGTACTTGTATTCATCATAGTGTCTAATTTCTACCTCATCGTCTAATATAATAAACTGCTTTGTCCCTCCAATATACATGGCTTTAGTTTTCTTATTGACTTCGAGACCCCATTTGTTATATTCTTCTATTAGCTTCCGAGTCATGTAACTCAAGTTGTCATGATCCTGAGCAATCAGTATTTGGTCGTTAGCGAAACATAAGGTGTACAGTGTAGTCTCGTCATTGAGAGTGATTCCCATGCCATTACATTTTTCTTCCACAGCTTGAGTGCTTGTTTTAAATAAATTTTGAGAAGGGTAGGCGAAATACAGCAGCCTTGCTTTAGTTCTTTCGTGACCTTAAATCCCTCAGATATTCTTGATCCAGATTTAAATTTTGCAGTCGTTCCATTATACAGACTTTAAACTGCGTTGATAAGACCATGCTTAATGTTGGTTTGCTGTAGGGTTGACCATAGTTTACTGAGGGGTACAATGTCATATGCTTTTTGTAAGTCTACGTACACCAGGTGAACTTCTTTATTGACTGCTGTTTTTTTCTCAATAGCTTACGTAATAGAGTACGAGTGGTCTACTGTGGATCGCCCAGGGCCCGTGTTGTCGAAACCGTTCGAACGGAAGTCGTATGCGAAAGATGATGAATTTCGAACGAAAATCGATGATTCGTATTTTCGAGTTGATTTCGAACGCATCGTATACGACGATTTTCGTACACGACTGCTCGAGTGGGTATTCACCATTCGAATAGCGGTAAACACACGGAGTTTGACATTTCTGACTTTTGCATTTAGTTTGGTTTTTAATTGTTTACATAAGTGAGATGGCCGGCCTAAATTTTTTATCCACAAGGAATCTACGTTCCTGTAGTTGGCTGTATACCATGTATTAAAAATTTAATTAAAAATCCTTTGTAAAAGGTATATTTTAGGCCCAAACGGGCTAAGTTAAAAAGACAAAACGTTTTCGGAAACCATGTTCCATCATCAGTGTCTAGGGGTACATGAATGAAGCCACCAAGATTAAATATGTGGGTAAAAACCCGGTTACATATGTTTAATTACATTTAGTTTTAAATTAATGTTGAAATAATATAAGATTACAGAGTTACCGATGGATTTGGTAACATGGCGACATATGACTCCACGTTGAAGTTGCTAGTCCTGAGACGGTATGTCTTCGAGGACTATATGAGTGCAACTGATCATATAGTCCTCGGTCAGTCCTGATCAGTTGCACTCATATAGTCCTCGAAGACATACCGTCTCAGGACTAGCAACTTCAACGTGGAGTCATATGTCGCCATGTTACCAAATCCATCGGTAACTCTGTAATCTTATATTATTTCAACATTAATTTAAAACTAAATGTAATTAAACATATGTAACCGGGTTTTTACCCACATATTTAATCTTGGTGGCTTCATTCATGTACCCCTAGACACTGATGATGGAACATGGTTTCCGAAAACGTTTTGTCTTTTTAACTTAGCCCGTTTGGGCCTAAAATATACCTTTTACAAAGGATTTTTAATTAAATTTTTTAATTGAAAGAAATGTTTTAAATGCCTTAGAAGATGCAGAAATATTAGCGAATGTGGAGAATAGAGTATACCATGCATTTTTAAACCCTCTTGAAGCCTTATCAGACAAACAATTTGTAAAATGTTCCCCAAAGCACCCTCTGCTTTGTTCCTTAAGAATAAGCATTTGGGCCAAGTATTTTACATAGAGAGTAATAAAATTGTTTACCTACAATAATTTTTTGCAGGTTTTCTAATCAATTTTCTTCCATAAAATCTATCAGTTCTTTTTTTTTGTTCGGAAGATACAAATCCTCCGAACATGGAATTTTTATTTTCTTTGTCTATATTGGGAACAGACAAAACAGATAAGTACGAAAACACAAGCCAAAACACGTTAAAACTGTGTAGAAAATTGAGCAAATCACAAAAAACTAAAAAACTTCAAGTCTGCTGCAACAAGTAAAATAAACTTGTCAGTCAAATAAATGTCGCCTGTCACCTCTATCTCTTCTTTTCTTAATTTCGTGCGAATTTGCGGCGTTGCCGGTGAATTTGGGTTAACGGATTCTCGTATGCGAATTAAACTTTCGAATTGCGTTCGAAAATACGCTTTTACGTTCGTGCACGATTTTTTTTCGTTCGAACTAATCGCATGCGAATAAATTCGAACACATTCAAAAATACGACCCCAGCTCTAAACCCAGCTTGCTCATTTGCTTCGTAATCTCTATAGTCATTTTCTATTTTGTTCTTAATAAGTTTCTCATACATCCTACTGATTGTACTGTTTACCTACTGTTACAACTACTTCTAATGAAATCGATTATCGCCTGATAAACCAAATATATTTATATTTTATGTTCTTCTCATAAACAAAAATAAATAATTTATCTTTGAACATTAAAAAATGACAAGCGACGCCTATGAAGGTAGCCATTGGTTAATTGTTTGTTAAATAACAAGAATTCGCCGTTACTGATTGTGTTTGCAACAGTTTCTCACGGGGGAAGCGATTCCAATAAGTGCTTGCAAAATAATATTAGTTGTTGTGGCCAACAACTTAGCCTAGATTTTTTGCGTTAATTCAATAAAGAAAGGCGATCTTAATTCTACGGTATAATACAATAAAGCAAGTGTGGCAAGATAACGAAACAATTGAAGTGGGTATTTTCTCCAATTCTATGATTATATTTATATAGGTAAATTAATTTGTAGGTTGAGACGTGGTATAGACACTAATAAAAAAATGGTATTATATTGATTTTATAATAACGAAATTTTCATCATAAAATTATATTAGAATGTGGTGATTTATGATATAATTATGGTAAAATAGCATTATAAATATATTATAATTTAAGATTCCTAATACCAGAAAATGTAAAAATGATACACGCGGCACAAAACCGAGAAACGTATCATGCGATAGTCGCTAATCTTCATTAGAAGACGGCACATAAAGAAGCTAAAATTTACATTTAGATTTACATCAATTTTTGTATTCAATAATATCTGGCAAACAGCTTAATTCGTCAAAAATATTTATTGCTTTAGACACTCAAGCACCACTAAAGTCTACACATATCTTATTTAAAATCAGTAACAACTTAGAATTGCAAACAGTCTCTTAAGTAACTGGTATAGTAAACAAATTTAATTTTAACATGCGTGCTAGGGCAGAAACGGATACAAATTTTTTTTAAAACCTATTCTCTATCCTTCCATTGTTGGATATAGGTCTCCCCCAGTTCTCTCTATCTTTCCCTATCTTGAGCTGTTCTCTGCCATGTGGGACCTCCTTGTTTCCTGATGTCATCTTTCCACCTCATCTGTGGTCTGCCTCTTGATCTCTTTGCATTGTATGGACGCCACTTTCCGATGGCATTGTTCCATCGTCCGTCTTGGAGACGTTCATTGTGTCCAGCCCATTTCCATTTTAGTTTTGCTGCTTGTTCTATCGCGTCTACTGTCTTTGTTCTGGTTCTGATCCACTGGTTACGTTTTCTATCTCTAAGTGATACACCCAACATTTGTCTCTCCATCGCTCTTTGTGCCTTCCTTATCCTATCCAAATTGGCCTGTGTAAATGTCCATGTCTGTGCTCCGTAGGTGAGCACCGGTATGATACAGGAGTTATATACCTTACTTCGTAAGTATAGAGGGATTGTTTGATGTTTTAGAACGTAAGAAAGTTTGCCGAACGCTGCCCATCCCATTCTTACTCGTCTCGATATTTCGGCTGTTTGATTGTCTCTATTAGCTCTGATTGCTTGTCCTAGATAGATATACTCATTTACCTGTTC